GGGCTGTAGATGGACCCAATCCCCGTGAAAATGTAGTTGGATTTGTTATCTCAACTACTGAATTGTCTCCTCTGGCACGCCTATTTGAGCTGTCAGCTGGTTGCAGTTTTCTTCTTGAAGGAAGAGCTGTCTGCAACAATCTATCAGGTAAAGTTTCTGGCAATTCCCATGAAAACTCGTCTTCAAATCCTTGTAAGTAAAGGTTGTCATCTGCCTTTTCACCCATGCCTTGGTCCGAAGTGATGAATTCTTGAAGGATCTTGAAAATTGTTTAGAGGAAAAGAAACACTTTCATGGAGAATGGTATCGTCCACCTTAACAGCAGCAGTAGAATTTTGGAACAATAACAACAATGATTTCACAGACTCTGAAACCTGTGCATCAGTGATAAGTTCAGGTTTCAAACTCAAATCAGGGGAAACAAAAGCATGCAAGTACACCTAGTTATACCTGACACATGGTGACATGCATATCCGATGGAGATTGATAGTCATCATCACTAATCCTTGAACTTAACAGAGTAGAGAATTCCTCGATACAGTTTATGTTCTCTTCTGGAAAGCCACGTAACCCAGCCATATCATCAGGAAGCCCAAAAAGGAATTTCAATGCAACAACAGCATTCATGTTTAAACTGATGAGAGCAAACCATAAGTTAGCCACAAACACTCTTCAAATGAATAGAGCAAAGAAACTAATATGCAGACATATAAATCCAAACATGAATCAAGCTTAACATATTACAAAGCCTTTGTGCATTTAGCTAGAAAAAGCTAGATTACATTTGGGTTTTGATTTGGTAATGTATATTATAATATCTTTTTTTGTTTTGGTTTCCCAAAGTTTCTTTTTTCTTTTTTCCAATCCCAGCACATGCATTTGGTGAGAAACAATAAGTAGTGTTTTGCTTTCCGCTCTCTTCTTTAATTTGATGGAAAATAGTGAAACATGTTTGAATCATTCTCAGTTTCCTGTCATTATTAGAGCTGCATTTTCTAAAATTCGTTTCTATTTAATCACCCAAAGAAGTTTTTGCAGAGTTCTCTATTTTCATTAACACAAACACATCATCAACTTCCATGAAAAACAAACTGCAGCCTATGAGATTATGTTATCAAGTTTAAGATGGTCTAAACAATTAAAATGACAGGTCCTACTACAAAACAATATTAAACACTATCATCTAAAGCTAGTAACTTTAACTTGTTAAGACCAATAGAATCTTTGAATTACATGACAAGAATTGCCATACATAATATATGAGATTGTTTTGTTCATCTACCAAATCTGATTAAATAGTTTATAGAATAACCCGAAACTCATAATTCCAACCTACCCCCCTGGCTTTTTTTTTTTTTTTTACACTGAACATATGGGAAAAGCAGAACATGATTACCTGTCTTTAAGTTAAAAACGTATGTGGAAACTGAATATTGCCTACCATGTTTTAGCTTAGGCATGAGAACAAGCAAAGTTATTTATGAGAGACAAAATCACCTACCGTACAGTACACAAATGCAGCAACATTATGAAAGAGGCCAGTGATAACGATGTGCATATCTCACCTATTCCCATCCATTGCAAAAGCACAAAGAACCTAAAGACAATGCATTAAGCAGCATCAATTGTAATAAGTTGATAAACAATCTTTTGAATCACAGATCTCAACAACTTTGGTCCAGCAACATAGCAAAGGGGGGAGAGTTTCTCCATTCAGATTCATATCAGAAAATGAAAATTTCCCATTCTTTTCATGTCCCTCTCTGATTCAATTCCCCCACGAGTAAGAAAATTGCCAACTATACAGCAAAGCAGACATCATGCACTACGCCCTTCAGTGCAAGAACCCAAGTCTTTAAAAGCTGTAAGGCAAGACAACTAATTCTTTTCCAACCGGTAGGACTGAGAAAAAATAGCATTTCCATTACAAGATTAGCTATCTGTAGAACGTACACTGGTTCTTGTCACTCATAAGTGAACAGTATATTCTATGTAAAGGTTTTTAATTATTCCAATTACCTGACAAAACTTCAAGAGCTGATTTATAAATACTGAACAATCTTTGGGGCTCAAACTGTCAAAATTGTGCCTAGTAGACCACAATGAATTTAAGTAAAAACATTATTAAGCATTAAACATCATGTACAATTCGCATTTCAAATTGAGAGAGAGAGAGAGAGAGAGAAAAGAGAGAATGTCAATAAAAGTAACCAACTCACGTATCATGTCTCCCATTATATTGGGAAAATGTTCGAGAACTACATAGTAGTGAGAGAGATTGAAAAACTGGGATGCACCAACTAATCAAAGCAAACCCATATTTAGCATAATCTCTAGAATCTGAAATCTGCCTCCCATCTGAATCAATAGAATCAAAACAACTCTCTAACACTCTAGTTAGAATCTGAGGAAAACCCTCTCCTAGCAACAGCGCCTGATATAGGAAGAAAGGCACCATAAGTACAATAAATTGCAAATCAGGCGGGTGAAATAAAAAAAAAAATCCACGAACCTTGCATATGGATGCTCCAGTAAGCTAGCAAGAAAATCAAGGAACCTATAAATCTGCAGAGACGAGGGAAAAGGAAATTATTTAGTATAACAGTCTAAACTAAAAAAACCACAAAAAGGTAATTTGGGCAAAAACTTAGAAGTTATCACCTTGTAAGCATCCATGTCGGATAGAGAAGATAAGTCAGAAATGTGATCATGTATCCATGATAATATAGGCCGCAGAAAGTTACAAGCATGTTCAGATTTTGCAAAGCAATGCGAATTATAAAAACTCGAAGCATGTCTTGTATGACTACCAAAGCCTGCTTCAAGTGATATATTAGTAGAGGCACATGATACAAAGCAAGTTTATCAAATAGAAATAGCTAGCCTTCCACCATCCTTTCTTCATTCCTGCAATACCAGAAATTTCAGAGGATAACAAAACCAAAATAGCATGTTGATGAAAGAACACATACTGAGATGGCATAATGTTGGATAATCTGGGCAATTTTGTCGAGCTGTGGTGTCAATTGGTTGAGCAACTTCTCAAGGTGACCATGCTCCAGATACCAATCAACCTGTCTCTCCTTATGAGGTCCCAATAAAGTCCCAATAGCCAATGACCTAAGGGCACTCAACAAGGGCATCCCGTTCTTCCAAAGCCAGACACGTTCTTCAGGAAATAGATCATTCTTGTAATGTAAAAGGAGAAAGTAAAAAACTAGTTAATGCTGCAGTTGAAGCCAATCTCCAATGGAGCAAAAACATGTTTTTAGTTGAGAGAAGGGTCTTCTGTTCTAATAACAGAAAAATGCTATTGAAAAAAAAGGCAAACAGAGTAAGAACGGTATTTGAATTTGAGATTCATAGTTTTCCATGTTGACATGCACCAAACATAATAGAAGGAAAATATCAAGCAATCATGGTGAAAAAATGAGTTCCTTAATAATCACCAACAAAGGCATGATAGATGCAATAAAAAAACATTAACTTGTTCAATGTTTCTTGATATGAATAACTGCCACAATAGTAATGAGACTAAGGTGCTATTAGGATTAAAGAAAATTGGAGAACTGAAATACCAAAAGACAAAGTAAACTGCAGGTCTCCTTTGGACCCAAGGCCAGTGATGAAGTAGTTTGAACACTGGCAAGAATTGAGTGGAAGAGGCCAGGAGTCCAACCATATACTGGCCAATAAGCAAGAGCTGATGCAACAAGTTGGCAGACAGCTTCAAAACCAAGGGCAGAATCAGGATAGGGAGAGGATAAATCAGCTGCACAAGCTGCAAGCTTTGGGCTGCAACACAGCAATACACTTAGTGCATTTCACTCCATAAAATGAGCATAGTATGGTAAAAGCTTCCATAGAAAAACAGTTAAATATTAATTACCTTACTTCTCGATGCAATCGTAACAATGCATTCATCAGTTTTGTATTCCTGTGCTGTTCCTTAGCTTCCTATAAGTAGAGGACAAGACAACTCAATTCTCAAATTTGGAAGATGGTGTAGGTTAAAATGGGTTAACTACATCCACAAATGCAGTAAACTATCAACTGAGCACAAAGAGTTTGATCTTACGGGCATTGATATGTAATTAACCTTAAAAGAAGAATCACCATAATCATGCATGTCCTTCACAACTAATGCCCCATGTCTTTTCTCAATTAGGAGGAAGAATCAATGCTAACAACAAAAATGGTAGCAATCTTCTCTGAAAGTTTCCAACAGCATTAATTCTATCCTCCACTTGCAACTATTCCTAACTAAACAAGGTGGGTAGCATAGAATCTTCAATCTCACCATAAATCCACTAAACTTTTCATGATGCTTTTTGCAAAAAGAAAAATATCGTCGTTATTGGATCAAAAGATCATTCATTAGAATACAATCTGACTAAGAAGCAGCAAACCTGTAATTTCTGCAAAAGAGTGATCAGCAATACAAGAGAAGGAACCAAAAGATCAACCAAACACTGTTCACGATTGCGTTCCAGCAATAAATCAGATGTAGAATTGCATTCATTACCCTCGTCAACAAGATAATCTGTTCAAGGCAATATAAAACGATGTTGTAAAGCAAGGATGCTAAAAATACAGAAAATACTTGAAAGACTTGAACCACATTGGACAGACTCTGGAGAAACAAATCTTGATTGAACCCATATTTGCCCAATGGATCCAATCTTCTCATGGTAAAACTTCATATGGGTAATGGCCCAGCATTCAGAGCGAGTTGAAGCATATGATTGCCTGTTTGTTTAAATGCTGTTAATGAAAAAAGTAATTCACTATTCTTAACAATAGGTCCTGGAGACTTCATCATGCTATTGCTCTAGGTTTACATACAACTACATCGATCTTAGTAAAAGGTGCTTTATATGTGTGCAGGTTCAAGTTAATGCAGGATAAAAAGGATTTTGGTTATAGTTTTCCTTGCGATGTTTCGGGATGAGGTGGTGTATAAAGCAACATAATTTTAACAAGGTCAACAAGCAAGTCATATAATAGACATGCCACAAATGATGATAACATAGGGGCAAAAATCTGCAACAATAGAGCCCAATAAACCTTTATCCTATCAAGATTGTTTGAAAGCTTTGGGTGTCCTTGAGAGAGAGAGGTTTGACACAAGGAATAAGCCTAAAAAACTAAGGGAATGGAGAAAAAGTTTTACCAACTCACCCCTTATTATTAGATAATGAACATTTCAATGCTGATTAAATTTATAATGCAGTCCTAGTGTTCTCATATTAACATTTAACTATATAAATATAAATTATAAAAACATCAGTTTCCATTTATATACTACAATATAATTAAATCAGCAAGAAACCCACTCGACAACCAATACTCATTAACTTACCATAGCTATTTGAGGACCTCTCAAGCATGAAGCTACAATTGACAAGAACCATGTAGATAACTGCGATGGCACCTTCATCATACAAAGTAGTAGCAACAGTCTACAACAAAAAACTACACATAATGAGTCAAATCAATTTAGTTTTAAATTAGACACTAAAGTAGAAAATTGCATACCGGATTCTCTGAAATGAATGCCAAAATTCGAAATGCAGTTGTCAGCTGGGCTATAGCAGAGTCACGGAGGTTATCACCATCAAAGGACTTTAAAGAGATAATGCTTGCAAGATTCTCCATGACATTAATGTCAGAAGCATTAGAAGATTCTCCAGCAACATTATCAACAACATCTGTGAAATCAGAAACTAGAATGTTGGTTGAGGTAAGATGAGCATCTCCTCCAGAAGCCAGCACAGCAGCATATCTTAGAAGACCAATAGCCCCATTTTTATGATAAACTAAACCACCATCAATCCACTCCAACAACCGTGTAGGACCATCTTTCCTATTGGACCCAGGGGAAGAAGAATGTAAAGCTTTATGAAGTTCCATGGCATGTCCAATCCAAGAGGACAGAGAGGT